GTCCGTTTTCGCTTCGATTTCGATATACTTCGTCCACAATATACTTCAATGTATTACAAACACATTACTTTTATTTAAACTATAATACTCTGGAAAAATGTACTTTAATAAAGCAATTTCTCTCGCATGCAAAATGCTCGCTTCGCGGCGGCCATTTCGCGGTTAGCACTTTTTTCCATCCAGCAAACCGCCCTATCGATTTTGTAAAGTCGTTTCTTTTTGGATTTTTTTATTAATTCGGTTAGGGTTAGAGTTAGGGTTGAGGTTAGGGTTAGGGGTTAGAGTAGGGGTAGGGTTTGGGTTAGTTACAAAGCCATTTAACACCTCTTCTATCTTGCGAAAATGACGTCAGGTCAGTTTGCTGGATGGAAAATAGTGCTAACCATATTTCGCGTGCAATATGGTGAAGCCTACCACATTTCCCATGATGCTTAGCTATAATGGGAATTGCCTATTGAAACGTCATCTTTTCAATCAGAACTGGATATATATGCAATGTCAGCATTATAGGCAATATAACAGCATTATATAGGCAATAAGCATGAATTTAAACATGACAGTTGAACGCATAAAGCACGATAAAATGTGTTAAAGTATTAATATTTATGTTAAAAGGCAGGATAAAACATGAAAAATGAATAAAGTACAGAAACTAGCGCTTTATATAATAAAGGATGATTACATGCAGCGCCCATTACAATTGCCGAAAACCACAAACTTAAATTAAATAAGTGAAATTTAGAATACCGCGTTAATAAGTCGGTATATCACACATGAGCTTATTGAAATTCGATTGATAAACACAAAGCAACATTTCTACATCCAATAACTAACAAATATGACATAAATTTATATAAATTCATCGACATACCCAGTTCAATATTAATGCTGTTTATTAATACTTCCGAGATTAACTCATCATACGACTGTTGTTGTCACTGTCAGGTTATTCCGCCGCATTAAGGTCCACAAAATGCTACAAACACCTCAATTATAACTTTCTTAAAAAGATAGAACTTCTATGAAAACATTATATAGGAAATAAATAGCGTTACTTTCAACATTGTCATATTTGCAAACTAAAGGTGCTTGTCAGTAATTTTCTCATTAAATTATGCAAAATGACCATAAAATATGCTTTGATCTTTGGAGATATTTGTATCATGCTGGGATTTGGCCATATGCACGACAACAACGATTTATTTGTTCGCTTTTGGAAATAATTTGTACAGCTTATAATAATAAGAATTAATATTAATTAATAATGAGTAGCCAGTAGCTTTCAGAAATCGCTATTACTAAAAATGCCTGAAAGCTTGTTCACCAGATATAGTTTGAACAATAATGTGAGGGTCAGAGTGACTGAATATTTACACAAATTGAATTTACGTACAACAAGTATAAAGAGAAACAAAGAATTAACAATCTACCAATATTAATAAATTTCATAATTATTTTATAATTTCATAATAACTGAGAAGCAAGCTATAAATGATAAGAATCATTTGATGTAGGTAATATGCATATATACTGCGGGACGTGAGATTACGTTCTATTTGGTAGCGGGATTAAAGTAAGAAAAGTAGAGAAATACAGGGTTAGTTTAAGGAGTCGCAGGGCACGAAATGAGAAAAAAAATATGTAGATATGCTATATCCACAGCAAATAACTTGTAGAAAGTCACAGTTTCTTGGTATTTTATAAAATGTCAACTTGACACTTGCTATACAGTAACATCAATTCTCTACTTCCGTGTTTTATCAAATGTTTAACAAGATTAATTAAAGAAAAAATACTAAATACGCCTATAAACTCGGGATAAAATAATTGTGAACGGTCCTCGTCTATAATTTTAAAGGTTCTTCCAAATAAGACAAACCGTTAATTTTTCTTGCCATTTCCCTTTAAGTACAGATATATATGCACGACCTTAGGCCAGTTCAGGTTTTTGTCCACTTTTGGTAAACAAGGTATAATCGTCAGCTTCGCGTTTGCTTTGATCCAACTCCTCGTAGCCTGGTAAGTTTCTTCCCATTTTGATGTCCTCATTTGACTCTCTTCTCTCATGAGCTGGTGTAACATCTGAATCTCGGCGCCATTGTAGTTTCTGATAGGTGCTATCATCCGCTGCATTTCTGCCTTGGAGTCTGTTCTTATCAAACTCAGTATAACCGGGATTTTCCTGCGACATTTTGGGTTCTTCATAGGCTTCGATTTGGCCTGGCGTTTTGTATCCCAACTTCTTGTGTACTCCAACTGATGGTATTCCAACCTCCTCGTAATGTCCTGGAAAAATGATGAATAGGGTTGATGTCTTGATGAGAGCTTTGGAAGCGAGCGAGATTTTTCTCAATTCTCATGCTAGCCAGTTAAATGGGAACAAGAGTTGTTGAAAGTTGATGCGAGTTAACTGGATTTTATCGCCTGTGGTGAAAACTTTCATCAACTCTCATCAAAGTTGGTGCTCAAATGTGAGCGACAATCACATCCTTCATTACCTCTCGTCAACTTGTATTTGTTCTTAAAAAATTCATTAATAATTCACGAGGAAAATACAAAAGAAATGAAAGTTTGTAAATCGGATAAAGATTTTTCCTGATTTACATAAACTTCAGCTTTGATTTTCTCGGCTTAGACCGGCAAAGTTTATTTTTAAATTAAATTACTTCGCCAATGAACTCATAAGATGGGTCATTTTTTAAGTACGATAAAACATTCGTATCCGATCTGTATATCTGATATACAAACTCTCGCCTTCGGCTCGAGTTTGTATATCAGATACAGATCGGCTGCTCATGTTTTATCTAGTACTTAGAATGTCTAAATATTACACTATACCAGAGTTAGTGGAATTTTAAATATATTACTGACCGTCAGCTGATGTATCTTCAGAGTTGTTTGCATTTGTGTCGACGTCATCGTGAAATTCTCGAACAACTGCTGAGACAGTTTCGTAACCTGGCCCCTCCTGTTAATGATAACGATTTAGGGGAGGACGATTAGAAATCCCAGGATCGGTGGATGTGGTGGGGTATAGTTAGACAAAAAACATGCAAAGAAAAATGACTGGGAAAATAATTCCTGCAGCCAGTAATTAAGAGACCAAAATCGTGCAAGCAATTGATTTGAATAGTTTATATATGTATGTTTATATATTATGTTTTACATATACATTTATATTCATATAGCTTTTACCTCAAAAATTTGCCACAACAACCTGCATGTTTCATCCAACGCTCGAAGCAGAGTTTACAAACTAAACTAACTTACTTTACTTATACTGTATAGCTCAACCAGTTCGGACTTAACAATTTGTAAATGACTTACCTGATCAATTGGCAATGATTCTTGTGGAGTGTCCACTGCCTTCAGTGGGATATCGACATGAGTTAATAGCCTTAAAGCCCGCTTTAGTCGTTTGTATTTCACAAGTAAAACAATTATGATGCTAAGAAATACGCCAGCCACTGTTGTCGCTATGATAATATAGTTAATGATTATGCCAGAGTCATCTGTACAATCTGTTGTTTCCTTGACTGAATCTTTAACGATAAGAAAAAATTATAGTTATTTCTATCAACGAACTCAAAAATACTGAAATCCTACGTATTAAAGTTAGGGGTACTGTAAAAAGGGCTAGAAAAGATTATATTTCCAAAGAGTACAGCTCCTTACCTGAAGTAACTTGTACACGATCTGTTTCAATATAGCGCCATTCACCTTCTGGAACCACGTCTTTCACACTAACATACACTCTGAATACGTATTTTTCGCCGGCGATAAGGTTGGACACAGTGACCAGAGTCTGCCTCAAGTTGTTCCAGCCAGGATCGTATGTCTCGTTCAGACATGGAATATTACAAATGCTCTGGCTACATATAAAACATGTGACGTTGTACAAGATAATTTCATTTAGGCTGTTTTTTGGTGCTGTCCACGATAATTCAACACCATATGCAATAAGTCTTGTTCTGGGTTTCTCTCTGATTTCTGGCAGAGCTGGAACTATAAAATTTATAGAAATATGTGATCCTAAAACAGCTGAATCAAAACTGCGATAGCCAATGAGACCGATTGTATAGGCAAGTGAGACCAATCAGGCTATTGGGTTATGCGTATAACGATGAGGTATCCGAAGGCATGATCCATGTGATGGATTCATCATCTTTCTGTTGTTCTGCGCGACTCTGTAGTTAGTTGGTTCCGCCGTACGTTTATTAGAAAAAGTTTGACTTCCTCTCAGTTGATTTCAAATTGGAATTTAACATCGAGTTTGAAGCCTGCCAGGCGTAATAAAATACATACTAGCAACAAAAATTATACATAAAGCTTTTAAATCTCATCCAATCTCATCCCTGATCTCATCTCTAACGACTCCTAACGCCTTATTTAACCAACCCTAGTCCCTCACCCCTGATCATAACGTCCAACGCTAGGGCTTGAGCTCATCGAACTCGGACTCATAAATTCTCTTGCCCCTCAGAAAGTACACACGTTATCTACGTTCGGGGGGAGGGGTGGGTAAATATCTGAAGGGGGGTGCTTGCTTTGGTCGGGGCCTGGTGGCAACGTCCAGAAAGGTCAAGGAAAAGTTTAACAAAACTAGTTTTCTAGGCCTGCATGGCGGCATCTGAGACAATAATACTGGTAGGTCATTTTACAAATTTAGTAATAAGAATAACCAAATACAATCGGCCAACTTACCATAACAAGGTGATACTTCAGATTTGTCAGAAGAAGTTTTATAATAACCATCTTTACAAACACAGCTGGCTCTTTTCACATTACTACTAACAGTGTTCATTGGACATTCGGTACAATCGTCGTTTGAAATGCCCGTTTTGTAACTAGTATTTGAACAACCTATAGTAGATCAATAGTAAAAGCATCGAATAATACATGAAGATTATGAACAAAATCAAAGTATTCGGCAAACGAATAAATGAGGGCGCTTAAATATAAATCAATTATAAATTATAGTACGAGATGTCAGTTAAATAAACAACTAAAGTCTAAATGTTTTCGTTAAGGTTTTGTGAAGATTATATGATATATACTGATATCGAAAGAACTATATTATGCACTCATTTCCGCATCGTTTAATTTTTCTTAGTCAGAGCAAAAACTAACTCGGCGTGAATTCTATGAAAGTTACTGATCTTCAAACCAGGACTGAGGAATCTACAAACTGACTATATGACACAAAAACCTGCAGTTATCAGAAAAGATATCGCAAAATACTACACCTAAGACTACAATAAACATGTAACTTACTCGAACACGATCCATCTCTTTTATTAAGCGTATATCCTTCAACACATAAGCACTCGATATTATCATCTAAAGATATTCTCCAAGATCCATTTGGATAACAATATCCTTTAAAACTTGCGGCATTTTGTGAAGGTATCGAGTTTTCTGAACAATTTGCTGTAACGTTTTTAACTCCTTTGGCAGGCGATAAAGTTCTTTCAAATTTTATATTCTTAATAATTTTTCCCTTGCATACGTAATAATACATTTTTATTCTGAATATTTTCCCACATGCTCCTCTGGATCGCACTGCAAATGTCACACCTGAGTTATTTTGAGGAAAGAAAAATGTCGTTTGAGTACTTCTGGTCAAGTTTGCCTTTGCTAAATTAGTATTATTGGTAATATTATAGAGTGACTGAGAAAAGATATCCAAAATATTTCCCTCAGATATACGATCTTTTCCATGGTATGCGTAAACCTCAAATTTATTGGAGTAACATGGGGAATAACTGCGAAGACCTTCATTAAAACACTGGGTATTAAGTTCAGCTTCTATATCCACATAGACAACTTCAGCAAATGTTGTTTCCAAATTAACATGAGGTGTGATAAACCAAAAGTCTGCGTATTCTCCAAGACCACAAGTTTTGCCATTCTTTCCCCACTTAAAAAAGGGAAAATAGTTTATTCAGTGGCAGGTAAAATATTTTTAGGTAGTAATTACTAAATGTGCTGTATAGAATGTACAGAAAATAAGCGTTACGTCCTTTCTAGTCTTTCTACGTTTGTCAGAGTTCGAGCAAATCAAATTTATGGATTAGTATAGCAATTGCACTATTTTTTACTGAATATTAAACCAGAGTGCAGTGTGGGGGCTCAGGGGGCTGTTATAATTTCAGGTTGATTTGGAAAGGGTAAGCCCCCTACAGTTTTGTAGTTTGCATAATCACATCTTCACTGAAACGTTCTTTGGAACTGTGATGTTGACATTTAGAAATTTCCAGTTATGATTTTGGAATCCCTATACTCGATCACTTTATTCCCACTACTAGACAATTTATGTGGCTCTAACATGAAATAGCTTTGGTATGTCTTTAATCTCAAGTTAAATACTTCCTTCATTTAAGCGAAGAATTGGTACGTCAAGAACCAAAAACAAATTCTGATATTTTTCATGCATGTTCATCATGTTGTCATACCCACGCCTTGTCACACCCCATCCTTTTTAGAACCCCTCGTGCTTCTTACATCCGCAGTCCCAGGGCTTCTGATTATCCTAGAAACTCTGGTAACAAGGATGCCCATGTTAGCGTTTAAGGCTAGCTGTGTACAGGGACGTGTCGCTACCGGGGGTGTAAAACCCATTAATAATTTTTGGGTTCAAAAAGTTGGTCCAACTGGAAATTACAAACGAAATTAGAAAAGATAAAAGTGCGAATGTATCGAAAACCAAATTACGTATTGAGCAACATGGCACGAATTAACAGAATGAACCTTCCCTGTTTCGCTTTGGGAATTTAAGGAGAAAAATAAGGAAAATTTAACCAAATAACTTTAACAGAAAGATAATGACGGGAGAAAATGTATTGCCTCCCCCCTCCCCCATCGCCAACTCCCTCGCCAACAATTTTGGGAAGAGAAATATTAATTAGTGGTTGACATGACTCGGCGTAATTTCACTTATATATACATCCATCCCCCCATTAAAACGGGGCCAGCGACGACCCTGAGTTGGTCAAAATATTCGCCAAAACTTAGTCAAAATATCAAGACCCCCCCCCCCCCGATGTTAATGGTTTTGCGACGTCCCTGCCTATATACTAATATCATATAGTCATTTGACAAATTGACATAAAAATACTCACACCTACACCTTTACCAGCAGAGCTAAAACCCTGTTTTAGCCAGAATATCATATTACCATCTTCAATTATTTCTAGATAAGGCATAAGTATAGGGCAAAAAGGTTTTAACTTTAATGTGCCAGCTTCAACTTTAAAACATGTAAATATCAAACATTAAAACTACAGAACACTTATGAGCGAATAGTCATGATCAACGAAGACGAAGCCATGTTTGACAAACTATAACGTCCATTTTTTATTTATCCGGATTTGTCACATTAATGAGGAGTGTAAGAGCTTAATTGCAGCCAATCTCTTAAACTACATAGATTTTTAATTTCAGCTTCAATTAATTCATTGTTTTATATACGAACCTATTTCTGAGTAAACTGCTGCAGGTAACATTACAATGTACCATGACATCCATATTGAAAACCAGCTAAGCATCGTTGATCTCATCATTTTCTAAAGCCTATAGCTAAATGCTAAAATATAATAAAAAAAAACCCTTAAAAATTTTCCATAGTTTCTATTTGAACTGCCGAATTTAATGATGCAAAAGCATTATATATATAGACTGATTCCTCACTACGACACTAGTTGCAAACAATATAAAGATTAAAGATGCATGTTATGCTCGCTTTGGTACGTAGTCTCTTAATATCAACAGTAGCATGATAGTTGGGGGTATAGGGAATTGTGATTTGGGTGAAGAACAAAGAACACTATATATATTTGTGTCTATAAGCATAGGTTATTTTGAGGCACCTCGGGAATATGTGTTTATTCACCTCGGCGCGCACTTATTTTTCACATTGCGAGGTCGCTTTATTAGGGCCATTTATACGGGACAAAGTAAGTCGCGTCTTACATAAGACGCGTCTTATATAAGCTGAGTTATCTATCGCATAAATGGTTCTCTACGGATTTATTCTTATTTACTTGCTATATATAGCTATAATGTTGTTTCGGTTGTTTTTCAGGTTCGAATATGCAAGGCTAATCATTTTACGTTGTTTCAAGTTTCGGGCATGTGTAGTTAGAATTTTTGTCTAAAATTTCTTATTTAAGACGCGACTTAAATAAGAACAGCTAAAAGTCCTGTTCTTATGTAAGACGCGTCTTATCCAAGACACGTCTTACATAAGAATGTTGTACCTTTTATACATACGACAAACTCGCGTCTTATTTAAGTCGCGTCTTATGTAAGTCGCGTCTTATTTTGTCCCGTATAAATGACCCTATAATGAGTCAGAATATATAGAAATAATTCTTAATGCCATATTGCCTTCGTGATGTTGTACGTTTTTTTCTCATTTTTTGTGCTGCAAAGACATTGCAGGTGAATGTTAGAGGGGATTATTAGAGGGAAATTGATTAGAGGGGAATATTGAATATATTCCAATCCCCAATAAGAACAAAGGAAACCGAGCAGGATGAAAAATAAGTTAATTATAACATTCTCATGTTACTGGCATGCACTAATATATTTTTCTTTGTTCTTGACCCACATAATAATCCTAAGTAATATATAAAGCTTGAAAAATCAATAAACAACGAAGTACCACTTATTATCATAAGCATCACCCGTCAAAACCTCTGTCAGCAGGGAACCATCGAAACTTCGGAAGTTGAAGAGCACAAAAATAAATTATAGAAATGAAGAAAACGTTCAGTCAGTGATGTCATGCGATCAATAACCCAACACAGCGTTTCCACATGCACTCAATATAAAATAACAACGGTGGCAGGTTTATTTATCACATAAAGCACAATACCCTAACCAGAATCACACAAAACACGTCAAGTATTTTTAATTTGTATTTTTGTGTCAAATACGAATGAAAATCAATTGAAACCGTCATCTTTTCAATCAGACTGGATATGCAATATCAGATCAGTCGATCAGATAGACAATCGATATATATTCTTCCGATCCAATTCGAGCTGCTGAATTCTGCTCCGAATTGATTATAATTAGCATGCATTAGCATGAATTTAAACATGACAATTAAACGTATAAAGCACGATAAAATGTGACAATTGAAAGTACTAATGTTTATGATAAAAGTAGGATAAAGCTGATAAATGAATATATACAGAAACTAGCGCTTTATATATTATAATGGTGATTACAGCGACCATATTACAATTGCCGCGAAAACCACAAACTCATAAATTAATTAAAATGTAGGCTAGAATACCGCGTTAATAAGTTGGTATATATCACACATGAGCTTATTGAAATTCAATCGATAAACACAACTAAAGCAATATTTCTACATCCAATAACTATAAACAAATATGACATAAATTTGTCATATAAATTCATCGACATACCAATATTAATGGAGCTTGATAATGCTGTTTATTAATAATTCCGAGATTAACTCATCATAGTCATCACTCGACTGTTGTTGTTACTGTCAGGTTATTCCGCCGTCCACAAAATGCTACAAACACTTTTCTTAAAAAGCCTGATATAGAACTTCTATGGAAACATTATAGGAAATAAGTTAAATAGCGTTACTTTCAACATTGACCATTGTCATATTTGCAAACTAATGGTGCTTGTCAGTTATTCTCATTAAATTATGCAAAATGACCATAAAATATGCTTTATATTAACTGATCTTTAGAGATATTTGTATCACGCTGGGATTTGGCCATATGACAACAACGATCTATTTGTTCCTTTTTGGAAATCATTTGTATAGCTTATAATAATAAGAATTAATATTAATTATTAATGAGTAGCCCATAGGCGTACGGGACGGGGGGCAGGGGGGGCAGCTGCCCCCCCTAAAAGATTACAAAGTTGAAAAGTCGGGCAAATGTTCAAAAAAAGTCGGGCAAAAGTCGGGGAAAAAGTAGTCAAAGCAATAAAATCTCTCGTAATAATAACCCCAGTTTGTTGGGCAAACCAAGCCAGTTGAGCAATATTCGCTTCACAGTCGGGCAATATTGGGTTATTATAAAAATAAATGGG